GAAGAAGTCTCTTGGAGGAGAGATGAAACGTTTCATTAGAGAAGAACCCGTCCAGAAGACCTACACAATTTTTTTTCTTTTTGATTTTTTACCTGGATTACTGAGATGCGTCAGGACAAATGTATTAGATGGGTGATAGTTATGCTTTCTTTTGATAATTCTTATGGCCCTTTTTTGTAAAATAAAAATTATTTATGTGATTTCCACACTTCCCAGCATCAATCTTCATTATGTGAGAATACTGTTCTGCTGAAAAGTTGTATTAGGTGACCAATGTAGCAATAAAAGACAAACAGCTGAAAACGTCCACTTTTAAGGGGTTTCATTTCCAAATGGAAGAGTGTATGAGTATTTTCCTGCTGCAAAGTCACGTCCAGCAGCAACAAACAGCAGCAAAATGCAAAAACAGCGTTTCTGTTTGGTTGATTGCAAGTGTAATTAAACTAAGTAGGAGGCATTCTGAGAGAAGATCAGAGCCCAGAGGAAGGAAAGCCGTAAACTTGAAATTCCTCCACTATAAATCTGTGACAAAGGACAGCAGACGAGATAAGGCTGCTGTTCTACCATCTTCCGTTTGATAAATGCTTTCAGTTTCTCATTTGTATAAAATACCAGCCATTTCAAAGGAACACACATTCGAATTAGAGGAACACACATCCAGTAATGTCTTTTCTACGTATCAGATATCACACTAACAAATGAATTGTCCACTACCTATTGGTGCAGCACAATTTATGCATGGGCAGTGGAGACTAGTTAAATGTTACTCATGACTTTTTGATGTTTTCTATATTTTAGGTTGTTTTTGAATTTTATTTGTCATTTCATAAGGTGAACACGAGTTGTCAGCAAGAAAATGCAAGTAAGAAAAACGCCTCAGATTGGTGACAAATTAAAGAAAAACAGAATAAATCAGCATAAAAATAGGATGCACACTGATGTAATAACATAAATCAAAAGTTGCTGTGGAGCACCTGTACAAGACTTGAACTGATGTTAGATGACACCGTTCACCGGTACTAAAAACACACAGTGCTTTTGTCTTTTGAAAGAATAGTTTGTTCTCATTTTTTTCCCAGGATTTTGAGGGGTTTTTTTCTACTCCAATTCAAATCCTGACAACCATCAGCTTTGTTTTATTGACATGTTTTAGTGGCTTTTGTGCAAGAAGCTGCAGTTTTTATTTATCTACATTTTATGAATTAAATTCACCACATGGGAAAAGGTGTCAGAACGATCAAAAATGTTTAAAATATGTGGGAATCATCTCAAAGTTATAGGATCTGTCTTCTTTTAGGTTATTCTGAAAGTGTGTTTGAATATCTTCTTTGCACTTGAATTTATCATTGGTTGCAATAAATGTTTTATTTTTTATAATAATGTACAAAATGGAACATGCTTTAATTAAAAAWATATTTTTAATTTGAGTTATTCTTATAAGGAATCAAGGGTCTTTCAAAACCTAAAAATTATTATAATTAGAATGATTATTTGGTTTGTTATTTTGTGTGGTTTAAAGCTTTAGTTTGTGACCCTCTGGTAATTTTATTTTAGAATTACAAAGACCATCTAGATCTTTTTTGTTGTTTAATTGTATGTTGTCAACACTCTGTTTCAAACCTTGGTTTTCTGCCACAGAACGCCTCAAATTCTGAAAAGTCTTTGGACGCGTTGCTCAGTCACGTTATCAGCGAACTCTCAAAGGACGAGAGCGTTTACAAGGTGAACTCTGAAGAATCAACAATGGTGAGATGCTATGATGACTGTTTAGCCTTTTGGAGCTTTACTGCCATAAAGATTACATCCTCTCCTCCTCCCAGCGTCTCCTCTGCTGCTCTTTTTCATTTTCTCTTTAAGTATAAATTGGCCATTACCCTGGGAGACAATGATCTAATATCTCTGGTAATCTCCAGGGAAGATGTACATCACTGTATTATCAGCAAGCTGTTAGCAGGTTATTGATCAGGTGTTACTGCTGCTTCTCTCTCTAGCTGAGCTCCAGTGTGTGGTCCCCACAGTCTATTGAGTTCAGCATCCAGCAGTTCTGCCTGCCCTTCCTTCGCCTCTCCTGCCTCCTGCAGCACCACCTTTATGGAGACACTCTAACTGGCTGTYTGGTACGTCTCATCTTAAACGCCAGCCTCACTGCTGAAACTACTGTAATCATGGTGCATTATGTTTTGATTGCTAATAATTCAATTAAATATCATCAGTTGAGTTTTGACATCTCATTGTAAGACGTGATGGTCTCAGCTTTACTGAGATCTTTTCAGATCCTCTGGCATTCTGTTGTGTCCAAAAGTAGTCTGTTTTCTTTGCTGGTCTCAGGATGAAGAGGAGTTTTCATCCTTGGCTGTGTGTGTGGGGCTGCTGCCCTCAGCCCCTCAGCCTTCCAGTGCCGTGCACAGTGCCTCATGTCTGGACTGGCCCGTCAGCGCCTTCGACTTGGTGACACAGTGGGTGGCTGAGCTCACAGAGCTAACTCAGATGCATCCTGAGCAATCACTGGTACATTTGTTAATTTCAGCCACTTTACAGACACAAACACGCCCACAATGTCCAGTCACACAACGCTCAACACAGAGCTGTGAGAATTAGTTCTGACGGGGGTGGGGCGATAGGCGRTCAGAGTAGCAATCTTCAGAATTTTTTGCTTCCACTTAAACGAGACGTGGGAATGTTCCTACTTATCGACTATAAATCARRCTTTAGTTTCAGCCCTGGCTGACAAGGTTCATAGCTGTCTCAGGAGAGAGTCTGCACCATGTCTCATGCCCCTGTCGTTTAGCACTTCAGTAATCTGTGGTGCTGTATATCACATGAAACGATGAGGTGTCCCATAGAACTTCTAGGATCTCAAACACACTAAAACCTCTGACCTGTTAGGTTTATTCTGTACAAACTAAATAAAATTTAATTTTAGTAATTGTTGCCATCTTACAGTCATGTGAAAAAGTTTGGGCACCTTTGTTAATTTTCCTGATTTACCTTTATAAATCATTGATTGTTTGGATAAAAAAAAATCAGTTAAATATATCATAGGGGACAAACACAGTGATATTTGAGAAGTGAACTGAAGTTTATATAATTTACAGAAAGTGTGCAATAATTGGTTAAACAAAATTGGGCAGGTGCATAAATTTGGGCACCGTTGCCGTTTTATTGATTTCAAAACCTTTAGAACTAATTATTGGAACTTAAATTTGGTTTGGTAAGTTCAGTGACCCTTGACCTCCATACACAGGTGACTCCAATTATGAGAAAAGTGTATTTAAGGGGGACAATTGTAGGTTTTTCTCCTCTTTGCATCTTCTCTGAAGAGTGGCAGCATGGGAGTCTCAAAACAACTTTCAAATGAGCTGAAAACAAAGATTGTTCACCGTCTTGGTTTAGGGGAAGGATACAGAAAATTATCTCAGAGATTTCAGCTTTCAGTCTCCACTGTGAGAAACATTGTGAGAAAATGGAGGACCACAGACACAGTTCAAGTCAAGGATCGAAGTGGCAGACCAAGACAAATTTCCAATAAACAGAAGCAAAGGATGTTGAGAACAGTCAGAGCCAACCCACAGACCAGCACCAAAGACCTACAACATCATCTTGCTGCTGATGGAGTCACTGTGCATCGTTCAACTATTCAGCACACTTTACACAAGGAGATGCTGTATGGGAGAGTAGTGCAGAGGAAGCCTTTTCTCCGCCTACATCCCAAACAGAGCTGCTTGAGGTATGCTAAAGCACATTTGGACAAGCCAGCTCCATTTTGGAATAAGGTGCYGTGGACTGATGAAACTAAAATAGTTATTTGGGCAGAACAAGGGCCGTTMTGCATGGAGGAAAAAGAACACAGCACTCCAAGAAAAACACCTACCTACAGTGAAATTTGGTGGTGKTTCCATCATGCTGTGGGGCTGTGTGGCCAGTACAGGGACTGGGAATCTTGTTAAAGTTGAGGGACGCATGGATTCCAAMCAATATCASCAGATTCTGGAGACCAATGTCCAGGAATCAGTGACAAAGCTGAAGCTGCTGAAGCCAGGGCTGCATCTTCCAACAAGACAACCACCCTAAACACTGCTCAAAATCTACTAAGACATTCATGCAGAGCAATAAGTCCAATGTTCTGGAATGGTCATCTCAGTCCCCAACCTGAATATTATTGAAAATCTGTGGTGTCACTTAAAGAGAGCTGTCTGTGGTTGGAAACCATCAAACTGAATGAACTAGAGATATTTTGTAWAGAAGAATGGTCTAAAATACCTTCAGCCACAATCCAGACTCTCATTAGAAGCTGTAGGAAGTGTTTAGAGAATGTTATTTCTGTGAAAGGAGGCTCTACTAAATTTTGAGGTAAGGTTTTTTTGTGTCCAAATTTATGCACCTGCCTAATTTTGTTTAACCAATTATTGCACACTTTCTGTAAATCATATAAACTTCATTTCACTTCTCAAATATCACTGTTTGTCCCCTATATGATATATTTAACTGATTTTTTTCATCCGAACAATCAATGATTTATAAATGTAAATCAGGAAAATCAACAAGGCTGCCCAAACTTTTTCATATGACTGTACCTGAACCTGAGTAGACTCTGATTTTCAARGACTGAGAGACCTCGCATCAGATCTGCTCCTACAGTGTGTGGTGTACAGCCACACGGCAAATACAACACACCTCACATAAACAGATTTCACTCAAACATGGAGGTGAATTGTTTTTTTCTGCATGTCACTTGCATGTTTTTGTCACCTCGCTTTGATTGGCTACAYGTCATATTCAGCGAGCTCCTTTGTCCTCGGGGAACACCACACGCTGGGATAACAAGCCAAGACGGTCCAACATGTTGAATATCCCTGATGTGTGATCTGAGTTGTCCCAACGTTCTTCCAAGCCAGCTAGGTCGCTCTTAGCACACACCACACRGCAGGAATAGCTCCTGAAATTATCTTTWTAGCCATCACCATAATCAGAGCGTCCCTAAGATTGTTGGAAAGGCAAAATCAGGCCAAAGATCTGCACAATTATCTTTGCYGTGTGAACGCAGCATCACATATGTCTCTGCCTCTGCCTCTGTAGACCTTGCTGGTCCAGGATCCTCAGTGGGCAGCCCCTCGCCTTCTCCAGCTACCTGACAACTATAATATCATCTTCCAGTACTATCACAGAAAGGCCTGCACTGTCTGCAAAAAAGTGCCAAAAGACCCTGCACTCTGCCTTGTTTGTGGTGCGTTTGTGTGTCTGAAAGGCGTGTGCTGCAAACAGCAGGGAACCTGTGAATGTGTTTTGGTAAGTTTCTCAAAGATGGACGAACTGCTGCAAGTCGTCTCTGTCGTTTTTGTTTAAAACCTGCTCGTTTCTTGTCACTTTGAAGCACTCCCAACATTGTGGCGCAGCTACAGGCATCTTTCTGCTGATTAACGCCTCAGTCATCATCATCATCCGTGGACACCGTTTCTGTCTGTGGGGCTCTGTTTACCTGGACGCTCACGGAGAAGAAGATCGTGATTTACGGTATGTTGCATTTTGAAACTGGTTGAACATTTTTAATCTCTAAAGTGAGACTTTGAATTATTAGTAACTCTTCAGAGACGCATTGAACCATTGTTGTAGCTCTGTCACACTAACATTTTAGACAACTTATGCCGACTTATGAAAAAATTGTTATGAATAATTTACTCATAGGTTATATTCATTAAACTTGATAGCATTACAGTATGTGTACATTTAAAAAAATCATATACAGTATATA